CGCCGCGTTCCCAGGCCCCGCAGGTGTCGGCGCCGGCGGGTGCGAAGGTTTCCCGGGAAACCCGGCCCCGCCGCCGGCAGGAAAACCCATCAGGGTAGCGGGCGGGGGGGCCGGGACACCCGGCACCGGCACGGCCCCCTCCTCACGGCAGCCTCGGGGTACGTGATCCTCACATGGCAGCGTGGGGTACAGCGGTGGGCATGGGACCGCCATAGCAAGTGTGCACAGCCCCCCCCCAGTATCATGTATCAGCCACAAAGCTGGGCAGGGGGCACGGGGCCAGCTGGGGGGCACGGAGCCAGGCACGGGGCATGGCACCAGCAGTGGGGTGCAGGGCCGGCCACCTCCCCAGGGAAATGCTGCCGAACAACACGGCGGGTGAGCCAACGCCTCATTGCTCACAGGCTCGTGTTTCCCAGTGGTCACATGAAGCTTGTTCAGTTTTCCTTGGCAATGTCGTGACACAGAGGTGACGAGATAAATCCTGCTTATCACTCACCACCAGCCAAGTGCTCCTGCCATCCTCACCGCACTCGCTGGAGCAGGGCAGGCTGCGCAGCCCCGTGGCAGCCCTGGGTGCCCCGGCCCTGCAGGGAGCCTGGACGGGGTCATCACCGATGCTTCAAAGCCCCATTGTGCAGGTGTCACAGGGCCCTGGGCCTCCAGCGGTGCAGAGGCAGCCAGGACAGGGTGCTGACCTGCTGCAGTCCCTCCCTGCCACCAAGCATGCCATGGCACCCGGCCCGGTGCTGCTCAGAGCCATGGGCACCCCAAGGCGTCACACCTGCAGCCCGGCCTCCAGCCCAGCCCTGCTCTCAGCACCCACACCCACTGCCAGGCACCATGAGGATATTGGCATCTGAACTGGTCATTACCTTCCCACAGACATTGCAGACATGGCACAAAACCACCAGGGTTAATTGCCATTAAGTCCCTCTGCCCTCTCGCTGGAGGAAGTGCTGTGCCACCGCCCCGTCCAAGGTCCAAGGGCACCGGTGCCAACTTGGACCTGCAGGACACCTCTGGGTGCACAGATGTCTGATGCCGTCCCCAAGCCAATCTCTGGGGCTGGGGGCTGCAGTGGGGGCCCAGCAGCAGCCTGGCCCCGGGAGTGTGGCAGGGTGCTCTGCACCCAACAGCACAGCCTGGGGCACAGCCCCTTCCCCACACACCCTTCAATGCTGCCCTGCCCTGCCCTGCTCCCCGCCATTCCCAGGCCCCCTCCTGGGTCTCATTAGCTGATGAGCTCCCGGGTAATGAGTTCTGCAGCCCCGCTGGGCAGCCGCTTCCCACCTCCTTCTCTGTTTAGACAAGTGCTAGAGCACGGCTGGGCCATGGCAGTGCTGGCTGTGGGGTCAGAGCCCCCTCCAGGGAGAGGCCACAGTTCCTCACCCCTCAGGGTCTCCCCCACATCCCTCCAGCCCATATTGACGGAGCACATGCACAGGGCCATGGGGTGGGACGTGGCGAGGGCACTGGGTTGGAGCTCAGCTGCGGAGCCACAGGGCTCCTGACGGTGTTGCTGGACAAAGCTGGCCAAAACCCTCCCCAGGCAGTCAGTGCCTGGCTCGGACCCATGCCCCCAGGACCCTGCTGAGGGGGTCCTGCCGGGCCCTGCTGGGGGCCCTCCCCAGGACACCTTACTGTCGACCTTGGACCCCCTGTCCCTGCTCCAGCACCTCCCGGGGGTCAGACATCCACATGGCTCCCGGCCCTGGCTGTGCACTCTTGTACCACTGGGTGGGATGGGGACAGCTGGCAAGGATGGTGCCCAGAGGCTGTGCCCGGCCCAGGGGTGAGTGCCACAAAAGCATCCTGGCAAACAGCCTTCTGCAGCCAGGAGCACCCAGAGCTGAGCGAGCAGCTGCCTGCCCCTGCTTCTGCAGCATCACCCAGCCCATGCACGTGGGCAGGGTCCCCTGCCCTGGAGCATCCTAAAGAGCTTAGCAACCCACCACGGTGCTGCCCGCTGCCTCAGGGACCCTGAAGCCCAGTCTGGATTTTGCACCAGTTGGACAAGCAGCAAAGGGAGCCTCAGCTCCATGCATAGGGGCACAGCCTGGTGGGTCCCCACAAACACTCATGGTCTGCCTCCAGCTTCTCTAGAGTACGCTGGGAGCTTAGAGAGCTGGGGCTGCACTGGGGTCTGCAGTGGGGTCTGCTGGGATCCCATGGGGTCAGGGAGACCGAGGCAGCATGGCCTGGTGCGGTGATGCCTCCCAGGAGGGGAGCACAGTGGTCCCACCGCCAGTGCACCAGCCTGGCTGCGCAACCCCGCATCCCCTGGCCCCTCAGGGCGGTTGGTTTGAGCTGGGAGCACACCCAGGACCCCAGGCACTAGGGCTGGGAGCTGTGCAGAGCGCAGGGGAGGTGTGGGGACACCATTGGGTGTCAGGGCTGGCAGCTCAGGGTCCTGGCACTGGAAGGTCAAGTCCCTGCTGCCCGCTACAGTGCAGTTGGCCCGGCAGAGTGGCCATGCGGGGCAGTGTGGGCTCTGGCAGGGCTGGTCAACGCGTTAGCATCTATCACGGCCGTGTGAATTGGTCCCTGCACACTTCCCAGCACCGGGCAGTGCTAATTAAGGGTTGGAGGAGTCAGAATTGACACCTCTGCAAATGGGCCTGGCATTCCCAGGCTCCTGGCTGGCCCCAGCTCGGCTCTGTAGGTTTTGACACCTCCAGGTGGCCAAAAAGGTGTCACCTCGCACCCCAGCCCCACATAAAACCAGGGCTGCCCGGGCACCCCCAGATGCAGGCAGCGCAGCGGACCCCAGCCATGGCCAGACCCCCAGCCCTGCTCCTTCCCCAGGGCCTCCAGCCCCCAGTGGGCCGTGCCCTGCTCTGGGACCAGGCCAGGGACTTCACCAACACCATCTCCCCAACAACTTCCACAAAGCCCCCTGGCGCATCCCCACGTCCCCCATGGGGCTGGCAGCCAGGGACTGGGGGGCGGCGGGGTGGCAGGGGTGAGCCAGGGTGGTGCGGAGGGCCAGGTGGCCCGCGGCAGAGCGCCAGCCAGCGGGAGAAGTTGCGGATGCGGCGGCTGGCGCAGGCACTGCTGCGGCTGCGGCACTACCTGCCACCCGCACTGGCGCCTGCGGGGCAGAGCCTCACCAAGATCGAGACCCTGCGCCTCGCCATCCGCTACATCGCCCACCTCTCAGCCCTGCTGGGGCTCAGCGAGGAGGCGCTGGCCCGGCAGCGGGGGGCGGCCCCCCGGCACTGCCCCCTCTGCCCCCAGGGCCTGGGGTGCTGCCAGACCCCGGACCACCGCCTGCACCTGCCGACCCCAGCCCCGCAGGATGCTTTGCCCCCCGGCACCGTGGGCTGGGGGTCACCTCCCATGGTGGGGACCCCCCTGGAGCTGCATGGGGCTCCTGGTATGGGGACAGGGGCCTGGGGGTCACCCCCTTGTGGCCCTGCTGCAGGGACCCCCCCAGAGGTGCTTGGAGTTCCCGACATGGGGATGGAGGCCTGGGGGTCACCCCGCTACATCCCTGTGGCAGGGACCCCCCTGGAGCTTCACAGGACCCCTGGCTCCATCTCAGGGTCCTGGTCATCACCACTGTACAGCCTCGGAGCAGTGACCTCCCTGGACCCCCCTGGAGACGCGCCATGGCCACGGGCACTGGGACAGCTTCCTCCTGCTGCTTGGAGCCTGCAGCCCCCCCTCCAGCCTCCTGGGGCAGGAATGACGGACACAGGGGCCCCCGGGACCCCCATGCGTGGCTCCCAGCTGCCTGCACACCGCCAGGTACCCACACCCCCCTCCCCAGCCCAACCCTTGCTCCTCTACCCCCCTGGGGTTGGGGGAGAGCCCAGGGATGGCCAGGAAGGGGGGTGGATGCTCCTGGTCGGGTGCGGGCAGGGCTGCACCCACAAATCCCCCTGCATGCCATGGCCGGGGTGTCTGCATGGGCTGGGGGGCACAGCATGATGAGTGCTGAACCAGACAGCCAGCCTGGGTGGGGGGCACGGGGTTACGGGGTGCAGGGCAGGGGACACAGTGCTGTCCCACAGTCACTCACCTAACACAGCTCTTTCCACACAGCTCAGCAGCCTGCCGGCCCTGGACAGGCTCATCTCCTCAGCCCCCCATGCAACCCCTGTCCTGCCCAGCTGCACCCCAGCACGGCACTGGGGGGGGTGGAGCTGATCCCACACCCCCAGCTGCAAAGGGCACATGGGGGACAGTGGCGTGGCCATGCCACAGAGCCACACGGGATGGACACTGGGGAAGGGCTCCTCATTAAAGCTAACGTGCACTCCTGCAACCTGACTCGTTACTGCAGGACCTCACTCACTGCGTCCCAACAGTCAGGGTTGGCGGCCTGGGGCACCCCACAGGCTGGCACCCACACACACAGCCAGGTGCTTGGTGCCCCCTCTCAGCCCACCCCACAGCCCAGAGATGTCCCAGAGCTAGGGTGACAGAGGGACCCACCACCTGGGGGTCTTCCCCAGCCCCACTGACCCCTAGTAGGGCAGCTCCCACCCGCCCATCGGGTCCCATCCCTTCCCTGTGCCCAAAGCCCCTGCGAGGGTTTTGGACTGGCCCTGCAAGAAACGTCCTTGTGCCGCTGGGACTGTCCAGCTCCATCCCTTCGGGGACCTGGGTAGCCCACGGGGGACAGTCCCCGGGGTCTGGCTGCCAGCACCCCTTCCTGCCCGGGTGCCTCAGGGAAGCCACAGCTGCCTCCCGCCCTGACCCCGCAGCGGCTGCCCCAGAGTGGGAGCCAGGCAGAAGCATCCTGTCCCCATCCCAGTCAGGAGTGGGCACGCCAGCCCCCGTGCAGGGCGCAGGGCTGGGGCCCAGCAGGAGAGCTCACATGCAGCCGTCAGACAGAGGGGCCGGGGGGCTGGCGTCGGCAAAGCCCCCAGAGCCACTTAGCACCAGGCTCTTAATGGCCCGGGGGGCTCTGTGTCCCTGGCCCCTGCGTCCCTGGCCCCCGCCCCGTGCCCACCGCAAGGTCCCAGCTGCTTCCTCCCAGGCCCCGGCGCAGCCCCCCAGGCCAGCCCCCCAAAGCCAGCATCCCCCCAGCATCCAGAGCCGCCGGTGAAAGCTGACGTGCAAGCCTTTATTTACACCCCCCCAGGCTTTGCACAAGTCTGCAGAGCCCAGCTCTGCCCCAGGCAGCCGAGGGCCGCAGGGCCCCATCCCCCAGCCCAAAGCCCCCCGTCCCCCATCTGCTGCCCATCATACAGGTACCAGGCCCTGCCCGCGGGCAGCGGCTCCTGCCCCTCACGAGCAGCGAAGGCCCTGACCGTGCTGGCCCGGGGGGGGGGCACGGGGGCCGCCAGGAGGGAGTGTTTGGGGCTGGGGAGGATGGAGTGAGTGGAGCTGGGGAGTGGGTGAGGGTCCAGCCCGGCCGCGTGGCGGTGGGCTCTGGGAGCGTCAGGCTTGGCCCCTGCAGCCCATCCCACGCCAGCCAGCGCACGGCTGGGAGGAAGGTGCGCGGTGGCCGCGGCCGCGCGGTTAGCTGGGGGCGACCTCGCCCTGGAACCAGGTCAGCACCATCTTCTTGTTCTCCTTCACCCAGTTGATGTTGGCACGAGTCCTCTCCAGCGCCTGCTCCAGTGCCCGCGTCCCCGACCCGAAGCCGATGTCCTGGTTGTCTGCCTTGAACTGCTTCAGCTGCCAGGGAGAAGAGGAGCTGGAGCAGGCATGGGGTGCACCAACAGCCCCCGCAGCACCCTGGCACCACTCTGGCAGCCCCCGGCAGCACCCAAGCAGCCCAGGACAGGAATGGAAGCTGCCTAGACCCCTGGGCACAAAAGGGGCAGGGGCTGGAGCCCCCCCCCCAAGAGCTCCTGGCAAAGGGCAGGTTGCAAGGTGCCAGCAGTGCAGACCTGTGCCCCTGCTCCTGCTGGGGCTGGGGTCTCTGGTGCTCCATCCCACAGACCCTGCCAGCGTCCAGCCTCACCTGCTGCAGCTCAAACTCTGTGGAAAACCGCTGGGTCACCGATAAAATCAGCCGGGAGAAGGAGAAGGAGCCACCCCCATACCTGGGAGAACAGAGGGACAGCTGAGCTGGGGGCCCCGGGTAGAGCAGCACCGGGGGCTGAGGTTGCCCCGACCCTGCATGGCCAGGGGAAGAGACGGTGCCACCCCCCCAGGGGCACAGACAGACAGGGGAATGCTGCCTGCCCCAGCCAGCCCCCCGCCACCCCCCCCACAGTGCTCACTGGGTGAAGAGCATCCTCCAGTTGCTGCGGATGAAGTCCCAGGCCAGGGGCTGCCCCACCACGTTGCTGGCAATGCTGTTGATGGTGGCAGTGGCGTCCTGCTTCCGGATCTTGTTGGGGTCAAGGGTGTACTGCAGGTACCTGGGAGGGGAACGCCGCTGGGTGAGGAGCTGGCAGGGACAGAGTCGTGGCGCCTGCCCGGGACCCCGCACCCACCGGTTGAGGATCCAGGGATAGGGGCTGCAGGAGAGGGCGGTGCGGAGCTTGTCGGCCTCAGATATGACGGTGGCCTCTTTGAACCTCTCCCAGATGAAGTCCCAGGCCTTCTCCCCGCCCGTGGCCACTATGCTGCAGTAGATGGAGGAGCGCAGGTTCGGGGCGATCCTGCAGGAGAGAAGAGCGGTCTCAGCCGGGAGCCCCTTGTTGCATCCAGCCTGGCTGCCTGCCATGGCACCAGGGCACCCTGGGGACTCACGGGTTATGGGTGACATTTTTCTCCCACTCGTTGAAGTATCTAGTGGCCAGGTCCTGGCACTCGACAATGCCGTAGGAGCAGGCTGTGCTGATGGCATTGATCTCATTGTACCTGGGGAGAGAGGGGCCACATGGGGCTGGGGACCAGCAAGCAGCAGCCAGGCACCAACCCGCCAGTGCCAGGCCACAGGCGGGGCCATGCCCTCTCCCCAGCGTGCTGGGGTGACCATCCCAGTTCAGTTGGGGAGACCCCGGGGGTCCAGCCCATCCCCGGGGATGTGGCACTCACTGGTCCATCAGGTCACTGGGGATGGTGACCCAGTTATTGGTGATGTTCTTGTAGTGGGAGAAGAGCGGCATCACCTGTTTCTGTATGTATTGCTGCGGGGGCGGAAGAATGGTCAGCACCCGGTGGCACCAGCAGCAACCCCCAGCCCAGCTCTGGGTGCAGATCCAGCCCCTCCTCCCCATCCCCCCCAGCATGGGGCTCTGCCGAGCGGCGGGACCCACTGCAGGGCCGGCCGGGGCTGGGCAGGTGGCACTGCTCACCGTCATCACCCCAAAGACCTCACTGCGGTCAAACATCAGCTGGAAGTAATGCAGGTTGTTGAGCGCCGCCTCCCAGGGCATGTACGCCGTCTCCTGGCTCAGGAACCGTGTAGTGCTCAAGGCCAAGGTCACATTGATGTACTTTGCCCTGTGAGGGGTGAGGGCAGCGTCAGCTCCCCAGCCCCACAGCCACTGCCTGCTTCCAGGGTGCCCACCCCACCAGTCCCCCTCGCCCCAGTGGGCACCTGGGGCAGCCAGCACGGCTCACCTGGCCAGGTTAAAGGCGTCATCGATGATCTGGGCACGGTTGATCATGGGGATAGCCTAGGAGAGGGCAGAGTTGGCATCTCAGGGCAGCCCTGAGTGGGGTGCGTGGGGTGGGGGCCCACCCACACTCCACAGCCCACACCCCAGCCCCAGCCAGCCCCACATACCTGGTGGTTGGTGGAGAGCTGGGTGAGGAGCTGGTCCCAGTTCTCCTGGTTGTAGTTGACACGGAAGTACCCGCTGACATTCAGGTTCAGCAGGAGCCAGTCGGAGCTGTTCACCTTGAACTGGTTGTTGGTTTCTGGGAAGAGGAGAGGAGGGTCTGCTGGAGCCGCCCCCACACCTGCAAGGGGCAGGGGAGGTGGCAGCGAGACCCCTGCTCCCAGCCTGGGCAGGATGCACCGTACCTGTGACTTTGGTCAGCCAGTACCTGTTCCCAGTGGTTGAGCGTGTCATCCAGGTGATGGGGACGATCCAGGTGTAGCTGTGCCAGAGACAGGCAGGCAGTGGGACCATCACTTGCCCCCCTAGCCCACCTCATCCCCCTGACACCGACAGCCCACCACCCCACTCACTTGAAGATGGAGGGTCTCTCTACCACGGAGGTGGGGTCCAGCAGGAAGTGTTTCTGGCTGACAGTGCCAGTGAGGGTGTCGACGGTCACCACGGGGAAGCCCATCTGCAGCGTCCAGCGGTCCATAATGTTGCTGATGGAGTCAGGCAGCAAGACATTGCTCTTCGTGACAGCCTGCAAGGAGGGCAGCGCCACGGGTCACCAGTGCCGGGGAGTGCAGTGCAGGGCTTGGCCAGCGCTGCAGCCTTCGCCCAGCACACGGTGGCTGCGTGGCTGGGACCCCATCCCACCAGGCAGCCCCCCCAGAGTCAGGGCAGCAGTAGGGAAGGGGCTGGGTCAGGGGGAGCAGCCAAGAGCAGCCAGCCCCCTCCTACCTCTTGCAAATGAAACCACAGGTCCGTGTAGACGGTGTTTCCGTAGGCAAATGTGTGGAGGTAGGACTGCGGGAGAGCACCAGGAGAGACGGGTGGGCAGGGGCAGGTCCGGGGTGCAGGACGCCTGCAGAGCACCCGGGGATGCCCCTGCCATGGGAAGCCCACCCTGCACTGGGGCTCGGTGCACCCCGGCACTGGCAGAGCCTCACCTGCAGCCCCGCCTTGAACACGTCCTCGGTGAGGAAGTCAGAGAGCATTCGCAGCACTGACGCTCCCTGTGGAGACGGCAGGTCAGAGACCCCAGGTGCGCAGGGCACCCCACAGCCCATCCCACCGCCCCAGGGACCCCTGTGCCCAGTCCCCGTGAGCCTGGGCTCACATACCCACCTTGCTGTAGGCAATGCTGTCGAAGACCTCGCTAATCTGGGCCGGGGTGTTAACCTCGTCCTCGCGGAAGGTGAGTGGGTGGGAGGTGGTCAGGGCATCAGTCGACATCACTGCATACACCTCATTCAGCACCATCAGGTCTTTCTGCGGGGGTGAGTGCCAGCACCCGCCTCAGCCCTGCGTGCACCCTCCTGGCAGCGGGGCAGCCCCCGGGGGTGCAGAGGTGGAGGGGGTGCCCGCAGCCCCTGCCCGCTGGCCCCAGCACTCACAATATTCCAGGAGGGCTCAACTGCAGCAGCGCCCAGGTACTCCACGTAGGAGGCAAAGCCCTCGTTCAACCACAGGTCATTCCACCACTGCAGCGTCACCAGGTTCCCGAACCACTGGGGGGGGGCACAGCGACCTGTCAGCTGGGCCCGGCCAGTCAGCAGGGTGGGTGGGGGACACAGCGGGTACCTGATGGGCCAGCTCGTGAGCAATGACGGTCAGCACCCGCTCCTTGTTGCCAATGGAGGAGTAGGCATTGTCAAAGAGCAGCGAGTTCTCCCGGTAGGTCAGCAGCCCCCAGTTCTCCATCGCGCCCGCGTTGAAGTCAGGGAGGCCGACCTGGTCTGGGGATGGAGGAGTCCCGTTGGTGCGCCACTGCCGGGGTGCTGGACCACCTGCCCACACCATGGCTGGCGGCTTGACCCAGTGCCCCGGCCACCCCACAGCACCCACCGGCCTTTGGCAGCGGGTATGCCGTGTTGTAGTGCTTTTCGAAGAAGCTGAGGATGGGGCCGGTCACCTGGAGCGCATAGCTGCCCTGGCCCTCGGCGATGGCCTTGGGGCGGCCCCAGATGCGAATCTGGAGGGGAGAGATGCAGGGCTCAGCTGCTGCCTGGGCTCAGACCCCTGGGTGGGTGGGGGGTGCCCCCCACCCCCAGCCTACCTGCACATGCCCCGAGGACTTATGCACGTAGCTGAACTGGCTGACAATAAAGGCCAGCAGGTAGGTGGACATTTTGGGGGTGGTGTCGAACTCAGTGATGTTCCAGCTCTCCCCGCCGATGTCCTGCTGCTGGGTCCCTGGGGGCAGCAGAGAGAAGGGGGTCACCCCCAGTCCTGCTGGGCCCCTGGACCCCTCCACCAGGGCTCCCCCCGCCCCACTCACTTATAGCAGGCATGTTGGAAATGGCTTTGTGGTCAGAGGGGTGGATCAGCGTCACCGTGAAGTTGGCTTTCATGGCCGGCTCGTCGAAGCAGGGAAAGGCTTTCCGCGCATCAGCCGCCTGCATCTGTGTGGTGGCCACCACCTTCCTGCAAGCAAACCTCGTCAGCACCCGGGGGCCTCTGCAGGGGCTGGCACCCCCCCAGATCCCTCCGCTCGCCCTGCGCCCTGCCCAATCCCATCCCATCCCTGCTGGGGTGGCATGTGGATGCAGGGGGCCACAGAGTCTCCCCCACACCCATCCCACCATCCCAGCGGGAGAGGAGCCCTAAACCCAGCCCATGCCCTCCGCGAACCCCGGGCCAGCCCCGTGCCCACCCCAGCCCCCTGCCCTCCACCTACTTAACGCCAAACTCATCCACATATTCACTGCGGTAGAAGCCGGCCAGGTCATCAGCCAGCTCCCCCGTGAAGATGGTGAAGAGCTGGTAGCGCTGGCCCCGCTGCAGCATGCCATTGAGCTGCACCACCAGGTACTGGGTGGGGATCTCCAGCCAGGTACTGTTGATGCGGGGTGCTATGAAGGTATCCACCGGCTTCAGTGAGGCGTAGAAGGACCCCTGCAGGGTGTAGCTCAGCTTGTTGCTGTGGATGAGGATGAGGTCAGTGGGTTCCTTGCAGACAAAGACCACGCTGCTGTTGCCCTTGAAGATGTACATGTTGTCAGCATTGGGTGTGAGGAAGGGCTGCAGAGTCACCTCGTAGGACTCTGGCACCAGCGTCTTTGGCAGCCTCCACTGGTTCCAGGGGTGTTGGGGCACGGCAGTGGGGGTGATGACAGTAGTGGTGGTGAGGGTGGCCATGGTGTGGAGGGTGGTCGTGGTGGTGGTTGCCTTGGTGGTGGTGGTGGTGGTGGTGGTGGTGGTGGTGCCAGCGGTGCCAGAATCCACCACCTTGTTCTTCTCCTGGGCATACACCACCGAGAGCGCGATGATGGTGGCCACAGCCCCCAGGGCCAGCACGATGGCCACGATGCCCACGGTCTTGCTGATGAAGAAGCCAGCCGCCATGGTGAGGCTGTGGAAGCGGTGCTTGTGAAGGAGGTGCTGCCTGGCTGGCACGGCTTTTAGCCTCTCGCTCTCACGAGGTTTATTACTCCAAGTTAATGGGTGAAGTATTAAATGACCATGAGGCTCAGGGTGGGATGAGCTTTCCACCCACCCGCCTCCCGGCCTTGCAGGAGCACCAACACCCAGTGCCGCTGCAGTGGTGGGTAAAACTGGCAGAATGGTATTACAGCATCAGGGATGGGCAGCGTGGGACCGGGCACGGGCTGCGGGCCAGGACTCCCAGGGTCCCTCCCAAGCACCGGCCTGACCCTGCAAAAGGAGGGACAAAGCAGGTGGTCACAGCTGATGGCCACATCCCCACCTTGCCATGGGGCAAGGCAGGTGGCCCTGGCACCCAAGCCCGGTGTCTGGCTCAGCATCACTCTGTTTGCCCTCAAGTGACAGGGTCTGAGCCATCAGCAGGGGGTCCCAGCTGCCACTCTTGCCTGCGAAGGACCTGCTGCTGGGGCTGAGGCCAGGGCAGGTGGGGGCTGGCACTTGCACCCTGGCAGGGGCACACCTCACCGTGCTGCCCACGCACCAGGGGAAAAGCAGGAGGGCATGGGGTGCAGCCCTGGGGGTCTGGGTGGTACGAGTGGAGCCCAGGACCATGCTGGGGAGGAGCCTGCCCTGCTTGCAGACCTCTCAAAGTCCAGGGTTGCATTGCCTGGCTCACACCTGGAGGTCAAAGTCCAGGCCCCGTGAACCCAAGCAGGCGTGTGCCCGCTGCCACTGGCCACAGGGCACCCAGAAGCCTGCATGCACCACGGGCCGCGCTCAGCCCTCCTGCCAGCCATAGCCTGGGTGAGCTGGGGGTGTCAACTGGCACAACACGCAGCTGGAAGATGGCGGGGTCCCATGTGTACAGCCCCGCCTGCACCCCACAGTGCAAAGCCGCCAGCCAGGGCCCTGGCTGGAGCCAAGCAAACACACCAGGGCTCAGGGTGCTGGCGTGCGGGACAGGGGCACACACTTCTCCATGAGAGCTCTGCCTTGGCAGGGGAGAGCAGCCCAAGCCCCCCAGGCCGTGCAGGTCAGCCCCCGGAGCTCTGCCAGAGGCTTCCCTGGACTGGGGTGGCAGACAGGGCATAGCAGAAACCCATGGAGTGAAGTCCCCATGCAGGGCAGGGTGGGGAGGGGAGGTGCCGCGTCTCACCCTAGCAATAGAAACTCCTCTTTCTGAGATCCAATCTTTCCAGTGGGGAGACGTAGGCAGGTCCTGCTGGGAGGCACAGCTCTGGGGCAAGGGGCAAACCCAGCAAGAGGCTGAGAGCCATCCTCAGGGAACCATGCCCTGTCCCCGACAGCACCCAGCTGCACCCACCAGCATCACTGTTCCTGGCAGTGCAGCCCTGGGATGCTGCAATGTCCCCAGACAGCCCCTGCTGTCCCCTGCACGCCCTCCATCCTGCACCGACAGGCACACTACACCCCTGCCTGGCGCTGCCCCTCCCTGCACAGACCCTCTTGGGCACGGCACACAGGCGCTCACCCCAGCTCAGCCCCATGCTGGCCCCCTCATGCACTTCTCCCCCGTTAACACCAGCCAGCCCCTGCACCCCTCCCTGAGCCCCCTCCCCAGGCTGTCTGCACCACCCCATGCCAGCCCGCACCCCGTCTCCCCCAGCTCCAGCGCACGCAGACTCCTGCTCCCCCCACTGCAAGGCCTCGTCCGGGGAGCCCTTGCAGACAGCGGACACGCGTGTGCTCCATCCCGCACGAAGACACCCAGAACACAGATGTTGGGCATCACCCGCATGGACGCACGGCTCCCTTGAGGCTCTGGCCCTGCACGCCCCATAACCCGACACGCACACACACATCCCAGAGCCCTCCATAACCTCTTGCAACGCCATGGACCCCCCAAAGCCCCCCACCGCCACATAAGGGCTCCATACCCCCCCTGCACACAAACCCCGCAGCCCCGAACACGCGAGCCCGCAGCCCCTTCTCCCCGTCCGGCCCAAGCCAACGATCCCCCAGGGCGGGGGCCCCCCGGGCCCCGGGCTCGGGGTTCGGCCCCCCCCCCCCGGGGGGGGGTTGGGCAGCGGCATCGCCCCCCACTCACCTTCCTGCGCTCAACCGCGGGGAGCGAGGGGCCGGGGGGCTCCCGCCCGCCCCATCCCCACCGAGGCATCCAGGACTGCGCCCTGCCTGCGCCCTGCCCTCGGGCGCTGCCTCGGCTCCGCTAGCTCAGCCGCCCGCCGGAGGAAAGTTTCCTCCTAAAGCTCCAAGGGAAGTAACCTGAACCTCCTCGCCCCCTTAACCCCTGGGCTGCTGGCCGGGCCGGGGGCTGGCGGGGCACGTCCCGGGGGGGGGGGCCAGGGCAGCGGGGGACAGCGGCGGGCAGCGGCCAGCCCCTGGCGCGGGGGATCCCGGCCCCAGCACCCGCTCCCGGAGCAGGGACAGGGCGAGGGGTCTCTGCTGGGGGAAGGCAGAGCGGGACCGCCTGGGCTGCGGGACCCCCCACCGCCCCAGCTGGGAGGCGTTAGTCGGGTTAGCCTGGGGACCGCAGTGCCCCACTGCTGGGGGTGAACCGCCCCCACCTGCCCGGCCCCTACACCCCACAGCCCCCCCGGGGTCCTGCTACGGGTCCCCTCTCTCACGCCAGCATTGGCCAGCATGCTCATCCCAGGGGGTGGCAGGAAAGGGGACAGACTATCACCCAGCAGCAACCAAGCCAGGCTCTGCCCCCTCCCTACAGCACCCGGAGCGCCTAGGCACACCAGGAATGGTGTCCCTGCTTGGGGGTGCCCCCTGCTCAGTCCCCCAGCCCAGCACCCTGTGCCCCAGCCCCACCTGGCACCCCCTGTCCCAGCTGCAGTGGGTTCAGAGACATCCCAGTCCTTGTAGTCAACCTGCAGGGCTGCGATCGGGGCTTGTATGGGTTTGCCAGGTGCAGCACCAGAGGTAGGGCCCCAGGGTCTCCCCAGTCAGAGAATGACACAGCCAGCCTGGGCATGGGGCTGGGACTTGGGCTCACCCAGTGCTTGGCAGGATGAGGGTAAACATTTCAGATACCTGTGGAGGAGCTGGGCCAGGGCCAGGCTCCATCACCTGCTTCCCTCCGCCTCACTGCCATGGAGAGGGGCCTAGAGTCAGGGGACACACTCCAGCAAGTAAACCCCAGCTGAGCTCAGCAAAATCCAGCACCCATCGGTGCCAAAGCACAGCCTGGCTGGGGACAGGTGACGGGGCCAGGAGCCAGCCCCAAGACCCAGCCACATCTCCCATCTCCAGACCACACAGGCAGCTTGGACAGGAGAGCACTGAGCCCCCAGCCTGCCCCTGCCCTCCACGTCCCTGCATATGCTGCGCCCCTCCAGCTAGCCTCAGAGAGCAGGAAGGGTCTGGTGACCTGGCCACGGCCCTTTGGGGCACACAGGGTCATTGCCAACGCTGCCTCACAGCTCTGCCCTGGGCAGGAATGCTCTCTGCCCACAGCAGGAGCCAGGTCTCGCCTTCAGTGCAGCATTCTCCCTCCGCTCTGCCAGGGCACTTGGGGCTCCTGTCCCTGGGCAGGACCCTGGGCAGCCAGCACGCCAGCCCTGAGGAGGCAGGGCTTGTAGGGCCGCCTCTGCCCCAGCCAGCCTGGGGCTGCTCCCGCACAACCCTGTGATTGCTGGGGTCAGGGCTGCAGCCCTCATGGGTGGGGACATGGGGTCCAGGGGTTTGGCCCAGCTCATCCTGAGGTGAACTACCCCATCGTCTCTGCCCTCTTCTGCACAGGAACGGGGAAAGGGAGCAGCCGGGATCAGCAGGACTCACCCAGCCCCAGCACGGTCCTCGGCCTCCCGAGGCTCCAGCAGGATGTGGGAAGGGACAGCGAGGCCAGAGTCGTTACCGGAGGTGGCTGTGCACAAACACCTCCTCGCTGCAGAGGAAGCACGTATGGCCGGACACATCCTGCACCGGGAACTGCCATGCCATGGCGCAGGACTGGACACAGGCACGGCCCATCGCAGCCAGGGCCGCCTGCCCCAGCCCAACCCCCCCAGGCACCCCTGTGTCCCAGGCCTGGCACAGAGTGGGACACGGGCACGACGCCAAGTTCCTTGCCACAGGGCAAGCTGGAGTTTTCCCCTCCGACTGCCCCAGTGCCTGCTGGACCCTGTGTCCCAGCCCCAGAACACAGCCCAGAGCACTGCTCACCTGCTCCCTCCACCACACTGCTCCAGCAGCCAACAGGAGGAAGAGGAGGAAGAGACAGGGGGCTGGCAGAAAAGAGGAAGCAGCAGGTTGCCCAGCTCCTTGACCTCCACAAGCTGCTGGTGGTGGCTCATGGCCAGCTGGGGAAGGGTTAAGCCACAGGGAGGGGAGACAGCAGAAAAATTCCTTCCAGGCAGAGTCATGGTTTCCCTGCCAGGGGAGGTGGAGGCAGAGCCCCTGGGAGCTCAGCTCACCAACAGAGGGAAAGCAGAGGAAAGGGCCCCCAAACCAGCCCAGAAGAGAGATGGCCAGATGGAGCTGTGGCATAGCCAGAGGCACAGGGCACCCAGCTTGAGAAGCCCCACAGCTCAGGGACCTCCCAGCCTGGCCCATCCCCACCTGGCCCATCCCCTGCAGCCATGCTCACTCCAACACCCAGGACCAGCCCCGACTCCCCCCAGGCCTCAGGGGGACACTAGCCCCAGCCCCACAGCCTTCACATGCCCTGTCGAGCGGAGCAGTACAGGGCTTTCAGCTGCCCTGAGAGCAGATCAGGGATGCTTTGCAGCAGAGAGAGAAGGCAGGAAAGCTGGCAGGAGGGCAGCGGGCACTGGCAGGTTGCAGGCTGGTGACCTGCCTCCAAAGGCCCAAAGCAGGGGACACTGCTGTCACAGCCCACATGGGGCCATCGTGGTCCCCCCTGCATGCCCTGGAGAGCAGGGCAGGGTGCAGCTAGGGACCCTACCCCAGAGCCCATGCCCTCCCCCACGTTGGGTCCAGGGCCCCATTTCCCACTCTCATGCAACAGCCCAGACACCAGCCTCTGCCAGCCAAGAGTCCCCCAGGGCTGCAGCCGCCCCATGAGAGGCCCCCCACAGACCCCACAACCCCTTCCTGGTGCTCCCTTTCCCGGTGCTGCCCCTGGGGCAGGGCCAGCAGCACCCACAGCAGACACAAGTTCACACGGTGATTTATTAGGACACAGGGACATGCTCCAGGAGGCCCCAGACTGGCCTGGCCCCGACCCAGCCACCAGCCCAGGCAGAGGCAGCTCCCTTCCCTCTCACTGCCAGCATCTCCTGGTCCAGCAGGTACCACCCACGCCAGCCCCAGCTCCAGAGCTCACAGCAGCTCCAATGAGCAACCCCAACCAGGCTGGTACCAATCCCAGCCTGGGGCGCCAGGTCCAGCAAGCTGGACCAGGGTGGGTGCAGGGATGCTGGGCAGGGGACAGCCCAGCCCGGGGAGGATGGAGGAGATGACAACCTAGAGCTCCTGCAGGAGCCATTAGCTACAGGTAGATTTTTACAACTGGGAATCCCAAGAAATGCTGGGAGAGGCAGGACCTAGCTCTTCCCCCCACAGTGAGGAGACAGGCTGCCCATCCACAGGGAGGGGAAGGAAGGCCACCCTTGTTGGGAGACCAGAGAGCAGAACTGAGCCCAGGTCCAAGGTGACAGACAGCATTCTTGCTGAGCCCCATCACTGCTCCCCACCCTCCACCAGCCAGCCCAGGCCCCCCGGCAGCACACCGGGCTCACCATGTACCACACGGACAGAGACCCAGAAGGGGCAGGGGGAACCCAGCATAGCCCAGCTCCTCTCCCCAAGCCAGCCCAGGCCACGGCCTGCGTGCGTGGGCAGCCCTCCCTGCCACAGGACGCTCACATGAACTGTGACAGGTTGGGCACTTTGATGTTGATGTCTCCGATGTTGATGTTGCGAGGGATCTCTGGCAGGTTGATGTTCTTCACAGCCGAGACCGCACGGGAAGGAGCGGCTGAGAGGCCTCCCTGCCGATGGGAGAGACCAGTGACTGCCAGCCCCTTGCCCCCTGCAGCCCCTCTGTGAGGGGCTCCAGGCTGCTCCCGGCTCAGCCCTGCTCTTCGTCACAGGAGCATCCCTGAACCGAGCCCTGCCCCATGCTGCCCTGCCTCCCCCGAGCCCCAGGGCCCAGCCACATCCCCCCGTGCGTGGCTCAGCACGGGTGCAGCCAGGGAGCAGCCCCCACGCCCACCTCCCGCGCTGCTGATGGACCCAGTCCTATATTGGGGGCAGCAGCACGGTGCTTCCCTGTGACGCGAGCACAGATGCACCTTCACAATGACAGCGCAAACAGGGGCAATAAACTTTTCACTACCTCAGGTTATTAACCTTAATGGGAACAGCCATTTCCATGCTCAGGCTGCTCCCTACGCTCCTAAACAGCACAGAGCACAGCTGGGGAGGGATGCCCCCAGCCCTCTCCCCAAGGACTCAGGCAGGCAGAGACTGGGTATACTGGGGATACCCCATATACGCCAGCTCCAGACCCCACAGGCTGTCCCCCCTTACAGTCTGGAGTACCTCAGCCTCCCACGGGGGAGAGCCACAGCATTGCACTCACCTCTGCCTTCTCCAGCTTGCTTTGGGCCTCCACCTGTGCCACAATCTCGTTCATGTTGGTCTCCAGCACCATGCCGCCTATCACCACCTCCTGCAAGATGTGGTGAACCTGCGAGGCCAGGGAAGGGAAGGCATGGGAAGGGATGGGAAAGGAAGGCTGCAAACCCAGCCCAGCTTACAGACCAGCCAGGAGTGGCAGCAGCCACTGCTGCAGAAGCATGTTGGGGACTGGCATTTCCCCGAGAGACACAAATCCAGCCCCATCCTCCCCTCAGCCCACACAGCCCCGGCAGCTGGCTGCCCGGAGAGCAAGAGGGCCGCCATGGTCCTCAGCACACAGTCCCACAGCCCCGTTTAGTGCTTGTACCTCTGCTCTAGAGGACACCTACCACAGGGACAGGAGCAAATGTTGCCCACTGGACCACCAGGCACAGGGCTGCCCCCAGAGAGGCCAGGTCTGACCCAGCTCGCTGGCACACCCTGGCTGCACCACCACTGACACCTCATCTGAAGCTTGATCCCTCCCTGGGCTGGGACGCAGGTCACAACCAGGAGCAACTCTCTGCCTAGAAAGCATGCTGGAGAAGAGCCCACAAGGCAGCAGAGACCCCAGGGCCTCCCGGAGCCACCGCGCAGGACACTTCTTTCCAGAACCAGTTTCTTCTACCCAGAAAGCCAGGCTAGAGCCCAACTTCTTTGCGTTCTCTTAGGAAAGACGGGACTGTGACACACACACAAAAAAGCACAAAAACGCTATGAGAATCTGCTCCCTTCCCCAGGGTCTGCCTGGATCCAAGGATGAAATGGAGCAGTCTCAAGGCAGTGAGCTGCTCCCTCCTGCCAGCCCCATCGGGGAGGACCGGTGATACCCCATAGGAGAAAGGGCCCATCCTGGTTTACAATCCAGGAAAACACAAACATCCCCCACCATGCCAGGTGGCTGCAACCCACCTTCAGCTCCACCATCCTGCACAGCCCAACCTTCCTTGCTAAGTCAGCAGGTCTCAACAACCACCCAGCACAGATAATGAATTTATGGCGCTCTGGTTACTTCCGTGAAATAGGCTATTAATGGAAGATTGTTAAGTTATTATATCATTTTATGGCTTCATGAGGGCAGGTTGCACTTGTAAATGCTGTGTGGCAAATACGGCCAGGGCAATGCTGTGAAAAATAAAGCAAGCCGGAGAATCTGCTAGAAGGGGGAAACCCAGCTTTGTGCAAACAGCAAGCCTCATGCTCACCATGGGTCCCGTCCTGCTCCAACAGTGCCAGGAGCAGCAAGGTGTGTGGGATCAGCACTGCACAGGGCGAGCCACGGGCGATACAGCACATTCCCGGGACATCCACAGCACTGGAACTGCTGTCCCGCAGCACAGTGTCAGCTCAGCCCAGCCCCGGCAAACACCGCACCGGACGGCGCTAGCAGCTCCCCAGAACAGAGCATCCTGGCTGCAGGAAATGTTGTTCCTTCAAGATCTGGCTTCACCCCAAGTTGGACTGAAACCAACAGGGCAGAAATCCCAAGCAAGCTTTGTTTTCCAAACTGAAACACAGCATTTCCTGAACAAACCATGTCCTCTCTGGGACCTTGCAGCTGCTGAGCAAAACTCACGTTTCTCCTCCAAGGTACGAAGAACAACCAGGGGCTGGGCAACAGCTGCCTCTGAGCCTCCCAAAGGCTTTGTGGCTCCAGCCTCCCCTTGCAAAAGAGGAAGCCCTGCAGCTCTGAGGTTGCTGCTCCCAAAGCTGACAGCCTAAAAGCACTGGTGTCACTGGTGCCCAAGAACCACAGACTCGATGGCCCAGGCCAGCCTCCTGCTGCAAAAGCAGGGACCTGAAACCCGCAGCAGGTCTCATTTCACGGACCCTGTGCTGCATACAGAGTGTAACGTGTATCTTAAGGCAATAATAGAAAATCACATGACCCAGACAAAGCTGCACCCAAATCCCAACCAGAACCTGCTGGGTTGAGGTTGTTCACAGCCAAAGTCTCTGCTCGACAAATCGATGCTTTCCCGTTGACATTGGCCTCATTTCTCCCATTCCAGTAGGGAACTCACAAACTCTGCAATCCATCTGCCAGAGCAGAGGGGTAGCACCATGCCCTGCACTGCTCTTGACAGACTGAAGTCCCAGAGGCAGGGTTCTGTGGGAGCGCTAGGGCAGCATCACAGCTGGAGAAAGCCCTGCCCAGGCATCCGACGGGCAAGACCCAGGGACCAGCAGGACAGACCTGCGTATTCCCAGCACCCCCAACACCACCCATCTGCAACCAAGCGCTTGGAAGCACAGGCACTCAACATCAACACATCTGAGAAATAAATACATGCCAAATATAGGAAGAGAGACAAAAGGACCACTGATAGTGGCCAAGGACTGAAGTCAAGGCTGGGAAGCAATGGGAGCACAGGACAGGCAGTAAACAAGCCTGAGTGGTAGGAGGGCCTTGGGGTGACCGAGCCCAGGGTCTCCCCGATCAGAAACCCTCCCAACTCCCATCTCCTTTGAACCCTTTGCCTGGCAGAAGAGTTCAGAGGAAGGGCAATGCGTACTACTGCTGGCAAAACAGACAAGCAACAGGGTAATCTCTTCTGCCTGTGGGCTGCAGATTGAGTGTAAAGCTGTCAGGTCTTGGTCACACCACAAAATACATAAATGAGAGCACACCCTCCCCCAGATGAGGCCAGAGGTGATCTGGGTGGCTGCCATCACTTCTCCTGCAGGTACTCCTCCTTCCTTCTGACCTCCTCCTTCCTCTCCTTTTGCTTGCTTTGATAAGAACACTTTTGCTGACAAGACAATCAATGTTATAACATTTCTGAAAGCTTACAGCCAGGCAAATTATGAAACCAAAGTCTTACTTCATCAGTTCCTAGTACATTCAGCTGATCCAGATCACCTTCTAAGATTTGCTAACTCCATTTCTCTGCCAGAGTTCAGAAGCTGGAATAGCCAACAGAAAGGGAACATTTACAGCCTTACTGATTTTTTTTCCACTCCTCTGCATTCTTTGTTGGCATGTTTTGTCTTCAACAAAGCAAGAAAGCCCTTATCAACAGCAACACAAGTCCAGCATGCAGTCAGCTAAGTCCCTCCTTTCTCTAAGCATAGTCCCAGCTATCTTCAGCCCCATCTATGAGATCATCAAAGAGGACAGGCTTCCTCCCAGAAACTCTGTCCAGCTAAAAAGGAAGCATTAAAGGCTGTGTATTCCAAACACTCCCATTGTTCATTCCCTTTTTTTTCCTGCAGCTCTACTAAAATGTTAACAAGACTCCCAAGGGGCCCCACAGTACAGCAAGAAGAGGCAGAACACCCCTGCACAACACCAGAGCCTGCCCAGCTCCATCAACACCAGCCTGTACAGAAGACAAGAGCAAAGACTCAGCGCAGATCCCTGTCACTTGACCGCATGGTTACCCAGCGTCAGTGGCAATCACCAGGACAGCCCCCAACCCCCTCCCACCCATGGCTGTGCTGCAGCAGAGAGCGCAGCCCTGCAGCAGCAATGCAATGGGGCAAGTGCCAAGAGCGGAGCTTACCCATGGAGGACTCAGAACAGAGCCCAGCAACTCAGATCTCTTGTCAGGAGGACACGATGTAAGCAGTTTACGAAGACCCCTGGCTGACAACTTCCCCACCCGGAATTTCAATCTCTCCCCAAAAGTGACGCCTAATGTACCAACAGCCTCTCCTGAAAGGCTCCAGAGCTCAAGGCTGGGCCAGCTCCTGCCCATGGGAGCGCAGGCTCTAGGGAGGGCAGGGCTCTGGGGCAGCCAGGTACTGGAGTGAACAACAGCACTGGCCCAGAGGACCACACAGAGACTACAACCCACCTTGTCCATGTGGAAGATGAGGTCCAGCTCACAGACATTCTCAAAGCACTTGTCCAGTGTCTCCACAAACACCTAAGGTGGCAGGAAGGGAAGGTCAGTACAGAAGACCACTGCAAGATGCTTCCCACTCACAGCCCCAGGGCCTGCAGGCAAAAAAGCCTCAGCCCTGACCAGAAACTTGTTGTGCCCCAGGGTATCCCCCTGAGCAGGGAACAAAACCCTCTCAACAACCCCATCTCCTTTTGATGGTAGGAAAGTGCCTGTTCCCAGGGCAAACGCAGGGAGGCCCAGCCCAGTGGCTGCCTGGGACCCCTAGTACTGCAGCAGCAGCATGGGGTCAGGGGACTGCCACATGGGCATCAGTGCCAGTCCTCGCTACACCACAGAAACCAGATGAAGCTCAGACCTGCTCAAGGAGAGGGCTTGTCTTGGCAAGGGGTTGCAGCTGGAACGAGAGCCTGGTCCTGGCTGGGCCAGCTGGGGATCCAACCCAGGCAGCGTGGAGGGCTCCTCCTCCAGCCCCAGACAAGCTCCCTCACAGCATCGGTGTGTACCTGCTCACTGCTGTCTTCAGGTGCTACCAGTGCTGCCCGCACACCTGGCACCCCCTCAAGGGGCCTGGCTCAAGGTCAAGGGCACAGAAACATGGAACTCAGCTGTTCTGGGAGAAACACCCAGGTGTCAATGTCCTGATCTGCTGCAGTGCTGGGACAATGGCTGGCGGCTGCATGCAGGGCAGGGCTGCAGCCAACCAGAACAGCCTGAAAGGGGCCGAGTTACGGGAAATGCATCACAGGGCAGGTGACCCGAGCAGGGCAGGCAGCTCCTGCCACCTCCTGTGCCAACACTCTCACACCTACCATTAGCTGGATTTAGCAAAGGTCCCATTACAAGTCTATGCAGTGTTTGAAAACAATTTCTAAAATGTACTTTTAGTTTTGGGCCCCTCCCTATAAGAAAGACACTGAGGTGCTGGAGCATGTCCAGAGAAAGGCAACAAAGTTGGTGAAGGGCCTGGAGGACAAGTCCTATGAGGAGCAGCTGAGGGAACTGGGGTTGTTTAGCCTGGAGAAAAGGAGGCTGAGGGGAGACCTTATCGCTCTCTACAACTACCTGAAAGGAGATTGTAGCAAGGTGGGGGTGGGTCTCTTCTCCGAGTAACAAGAGAGGGGACAAGAGGAAATGCCTCACGTTGCACCAGGGGAGGTTTAGATTGGATATTAGGAACAATTTCTTCACCAAAAGGGTTATCGATCCTTGGAACCAGCTACCCAGGGAAGTGGTTGAGTCACCAGCCCTGGAGGTATTTAAAAGATGTACAGACGTGGGCGCTTAGGGACATGGTTTAGTGGTGGACTTGGCAGTGTTAGGTTAAGACTTTGTTTGCCAACAATACCAAACTGAGTGGGGAAGCGGACACTTCGGGAGAGCCACCCTGCAGGAAGACCTGGATTGGCTGGAAGAGTGGGCTAACAAGAACTTTATGACGTTCAACAAAGACAAATGTAAGGTCTTGCACCTGGGACAACATAATCCAGGAGTGCAGCACAGGCTAGGATCTACCCAGCTGGGACACAGCTCTGTGGAAAGGGACCTGGGGATCCTTCCTGGTGGGCAACAAGCTCAGTATGAGTGAACAGTGTGCTGCTGCTGCAGCAAAGAAAGCCAACAGGATGCTGGGTTGCATCAACAAGCACATCACTAGCAGAGATAAAGAAGTCATTATCCCACTCTCCTCAGTGCTTGGCAGGCCACACCTCATATACTGTGTTCAGTTTTGGTCCCTGCAATGCAAAAAATGCATGGACAGGCTGGAGAGGGTCCAGAGAAGGGCCACAAAGATGATCCAAGGCCTGGGAAGTCTGCTGTATGAGGAAAGGCTGAGAGAACTGAGTTTGTTCAGCCTTGAGAAAAGAAAGCTTAAGGGAGACCTTATCACCATGTTCCAGTATTTACAGGGTGGCTACAAAGAAGATGGAAACTTTCTTTTTACAAGGAGTCACATGGAAAAGACATGGGGTAATGGGTACAAGTTACTCCTGGGGAGATTCCAACTGGATGCAAGAGGAAAATTCTTCACAATGAGAACAATCAGCCATTGGAATAATCTCCTCAGGGAAGTGGTGGATTCCCCAACATTGGGGATTCGCCTGGACAGGGTGCAGGGCCATCTTGTCTAGACCGTGCTTTTGCCAGAAAGGTTGGGCCAGATGATCCTTGAGGTCACATCCAACCTATTACTCTATGATTCTATATTAATGGTTGGACTCGATGATCTTAAGGGTCTTTTCCAACCTAAATGATTCTACGATTCTATTTTTTAAAGAAATTCATTCAGATTGACTTCCCCCGCTGCTTCCAGGTGGAGGAGCTGTGTATCGGCTAACGTGCACGCAGCTCCCCCTCCGCATCGCAGCCCCCTGAACAGCTTCTCAGTCGCTTCCAGAAGGGCTGGCACAGAGGTGCCACAGACACGAAGTGCACCTGAAAGGTGTCGGGGCCAGGCCGCCCAGCAAGGACTGTGCTGTGGGGGGAGGTACCTGCCAGCCACTCTCGGGCAGTGAACCTCACTGCAGAGAGACCGACCTGGATGAGGTCCAGGATGCCCAACTCACTCTCCGAGGAGTCCACACAGAAGACGAAGTACAGCGTGGCGTAGTGGCGGTAGATCAGCTTGTAGTCCGAGCCACCAAACAGGCTGCAGAGACACAAACAGAGGTGAAGAGTTTCAGGAGGGGGGGGATGCAGCCCAGACGCTGCCCTGGCTGAGGGGACAGCCCTGCAGGACCCCCCCTTGCCGGAGGGGCTGAGGGTTACCTGCCGCACTCCAGGAAGTTGCAGATGTGGTCATCCCGCTTCAGCACCAGGTGGAAAGTCTCTCGGATAATCTGCTGCTGGACCTCCTCCGCCTGCAAGAAGGCGAGGGCAAACACCCATGGCCGCACGGCCTACAGGACCCACATGCCCTGCTCTCCCCCCGCTGCCCCGAGGGTCACCGCGAGCCGGCAGGTGCCAGCTCCCTGCCAGCCCTGGCACCACAGGAGCAGCCGCAGGGGCAGCCACGGGGGACCCGGCCGCGGGGCATCCCGAGGGACCAGGCCTGGGCGCTGGGCTGAGGCAGGCAGGGCTCCCCAACCCCACCACGATCACCCCTGCAAACCGGGGCCTCCCCAGAGCCCCGGCAGAGCCCCACCGATGCCCCCGGCCCCGCACCAGGTGCTGGTAGAAGCGGACGAGCCGCGGCTTGCCGTGGTTGTTGAACACCAGGATGGCGTTGATCATCCCGGCGGCTGGACGGGACGGGACGGGACGGGAGCAGAACCGGGGCAGCAGCGGTCGCAGCCTCCCCGCAGGAAGCCCCTCGCCCGCCCCGGAAACGCGGCGGCGGGGCGGCGCTCCGGACCGGCTCCCGGCAGGCCGAACCCGGGCGGCCCCGCAAGGACCCCGCGGCCCCGGAGCAGCCGGGGCCCGGCCTCGGCCCAACGCGCAGTGCCGGGGCTCGGGGACCGGGGGACGCTCGGAGCCGCTCCTCCCGCGGCGCCCGGGCGGGGACGCAGCCGCTCTCCCACTGCCAAGGCCGGGGGCTCCCGGGGGCCGGCGTGGTGGACCGGGGCCTGCCCCGGCCCTCTCCGGGACAGCGACAGCCACCGGGGCAGACCGGGGAGGGGGCAACCGTTCCTCGCGTCCCGCGCCGGGGCAGGGCGCGGGCAGGTCTAGAACCGGGCCGCCGCCGGCCGCGCCGCCAGGGGGCGCACCAGCCCCAGAGCGACGGGAGCCGCGCGGTGCCACGCCGCGGCGGAGCGAGCGGGAGGCGTGGCTCCTCGCCGGGGCGGAGTTGGCGACAGACCACGCCCTCTCTTAAAGCGCCCGCTCCCTTGCCTGCCGGGGTGGTCGTGGGCGGGGTCAGAGGTCACCGGCGGGGGCCGGGGGGGGGGGGGG